GAGATACAGCAGAGTTGAGTAGTATATCTGAGTACAGTATTTTTAGGCAAATAATGCACACATTATATTTTTCCCAAAACCACACAACCCTCAGTGTTATTTTCATAAGCATGTTATGCCGTGTGTTAATAAGTGTGGGCAAGTTACTTACATGGGCACATTATTTGAGAAAAAATATAGTAGGTGCAACAGAAAGCATATGGCCTACAAACCCAAAAAGGTTTACTATGTGGCCCTCTACAAAAAATTTACCCCATGATCCCTATTGTAAAAATTTAGATTGCCATATGAAGAATTTGAATAACTATCCACAGGCAATGGATAAACGGCCATCATCTTGATAATTAGTAAACAGTGAAAGACGGAACCCAGTAGGAAACTCTAAAGCAACTTAAAAGGAAGCAGTAGTTCACACCCTGTAAGAAAATTTTTGAAATGGATATTCTTTCACTCCAATGGAATTGGGCATCTGTGCTAATCAAATAATTCATGCCATGGGATTAACTTCAAATGGTCTCATCTTTGTAACTTAATAAATACTTCCTTAACCTTACTTTTGAAAAAACATAAATAAGATACTAACTCATTTAAAAATTTACCTTGAGAGTGTTTTCTTCTGGAGTATCATCCAACATTTTTTTCTTAAATTGATTTTGTTGAAAATTGGACTTAAATCCCTGTAATTTATTGTTTTTGTCTATAGCCCTCACTGTGGAGCCAGATATGTTTGATGAACGTGTTTGCTGGAGTACTTCAGTTTCTCTTTGGTGAGATAATTTAGGATGTTCAGATAGTCTTAATTGCTTCTGTTGAGCTCCCAAGCTCCTTGGACAAGAATTTATTCCATCATTTGCCATCAGGTTTGTTCTTTTGCATTGAGGCTTAAAATCATTTCCATCCCAACTTTTCAAGCTGGAATTTTTATTGCCACCTCTGTAGCTGTAATAGTAAGGAAAAAGAAAAGAAAAAATTTAATATTTTTTTCTATATACTTTTACTTCATTAAAAAAAGAATGATGAAAATTTTCATTTATTGTTATTATAAACTACTTTTTGTTGTTATTATAAACTACTTTTTAACTATTAACTAGTTAGAAATTCCAAACACTTCACAACAATCCTGCAATATATTATCATCTCTCTTTCCAGAGGAGGAAATTAAACCTTAGAGAGGAAGTAAATTATCCAAAATCATAAAATTATGATGAAAAATGTAGAATCCTGGTCTCCCAACTAAGAGTTCAGTGCTATAAAGTATATTTTTAAATCCATACCAGCTTTCATATGACAGTGTTTGTTTCTGGGTGGTGAGATTTTTGAGGACTTTTGCTTGTGTTTTTATATTTTTATTTCTAAATTTTCTACAAAGTAAAAAATTTACTATGGTTTGTCAATGATTTTAAATCTCAAGGAAAATAAATACAGACAAAGCAGATAGTTATTTGATTAGAAGTTTTGCATTTTTAGTATATAGCTTACTGTATAGCCTACTAATGAATCTGTTACAGCATTTTATAACTACATTAATCTGAGTTGTATAAGTTGATCAGAACGTGATGTTAATAAAGCTAAGACCAAATGTATAATTTCTAAACAAGCTAGTTAAGAGTTCCAAGGCAAAAATTAGTCCAAGTCATAAATTCTTAATTCTGAATAATTTTCTACAGAATATCACAAGTATCACAAGAAGGCAAGCAATACAATCCCACCTTTGTTTGGGAAAGTAATCCAAAACAAGGTCTGGGATAAATGTGGCTCTGGGACAACTGACTGATAACCAGAAGGCTTGTGGTTCAAACCCCCCAGCCACTCCTTGGAAGGAAGAGTGGGCAATCTACTTCCACAGTGATACTGCCTCAGAAACCCAAGGAGGGGTCGCTAGGAGTCAGAACTGACTCAACAGCAGAGAGTACCAACCAGTTAAACATACAGGTTTTATGGTACTTGAAGTATATATAATTTGGTGAGCCTTCTTTAAGTAAAATTAGATACAAAATTAATCATGAAGATGAAATCACAACTAATTACAAATTCTTAGAAGCTGAAAAATACAACAAACATCACGATATACAGGAAAAAAATATTTTTAGTATTACTATTAATTATCCAGTAGAAAATATTTTTATTAACTGCCTGATACAACTTGTAAGACTTTTCTTCCTATATTGATCATCTCATCATATGATAACAACTTAGTAATTTTATTTTCAATAGAGAGACTAGAAACATTAATTTTTCTTTCCTCGAGCATGGTTGATAGAATTTTTTAAATTATTATTCATCTTTACAGAAGTTTCTTTCAGTTTTACAACTGATTGGTAACAGCACATCTGGAACTTCCTCCCAAGTCTGTGCTCATGAGGGGCTCCCATAGCTCCTGGGAGACCAGTGCTGTGCCCTTGCTGCATGTGCTCCCACACACAGATGATGCCTCAGCAGGCAATGCAGTTTGGCAAGGTTCTGGACTCCCCACCAGGCTATAAGGTCTAGGTTGTAGTGGCTCCTGAGCAGGACAAGATCTTTCTGCTTAGAGGAAATACTGTTGTTGTTGTTGTTAGGTGCTGTCAAGTCACCTCCAACTCATATCGACCCTATGTATGAACAGAACGAAACACTGCCTGGTTCTGCGCCAGCCTCACAATCCTACTATGCTTTAGTCTGTTGTTGCAGCCACTGTGTCAATCCATCTCTTTGAGGGTGTTCCCCTTTTCTTGCTGACCCTCTACTTTTCCAAGCATGACCTCCTTCCCAGGGAATGGCCCCCTCTGACAACATGACCAAAGTAGGTGGGGGTTCCATCAATTCTTAGAGCCTTTGTTCACCAGTTCCTTCAATGCAACTTTGATTCTTCCTTCACTCATTGGTTCTTGATCATATGCTACCTCCTGAAACAGGTAAACACTGACGATTTCCTTTTGGTATATGACTCTTTGTATTCCTTCCATCTTTTTTTGATGCTTTCTGCACCATTCAATATTTTGCCCATAGAATCCTTCAAAATTGCAACTTGGGCCTTGAATTTTTTCTTCAGTTCTTTCATAGAAGAAAGATAAAAAAAAGAGAGAGAGAGAGAACGAAACCTAACCCACTGCCATCCAGTCGATTCTGACCCATAGTGACCCCTCCTTGGGTTTCTGAGGCAGTATGTCTGTGGAAGTAGATTGCCTAGTCTTCCTTATGAGGAGTGGCTGG